GCCCCCCCACACGTCCTCAATGTACCGCTGCACCTTCACGGATGCATGCGTGTACGAGGCAACATGGCGCTCCAGGAGCGCTTCCGCCAATTCAGGTATGGCAACCCCCTCGTCAGCAGTCAAGTCGCAGGGGGCGCCGGCCGCCGCGAGAACGCGGCTAACCTGCGCTGCCCAGGGCTGCCGGGCCAGTGGCAGCCCTGTGTCCGTGTCGGCAGCCAGCGCAACGCTATCCAGCATGGCAAGACGGGCGACCCGCTCGCCGCCCATAGCCTGCAGGTTGCTCACAAAGCGTGCAACCTGCAAGGTCCAGTTGCTTGTGTGGGCTTAAAGTCTGGTAAAGCAAGAACTAGCTTGCAACATAGACTCCCCGCCGAAACGGGACGGGAACCGGGCGAAAGCAGAGAAAGCAATAAAACAGGGGTGGAGCAAGGCGACATGCAACGCAAGCAGCTGACAGGGCACGCATCGAAACGTGTGTATGACTGGCAAAGTGGCATGGCGCATTGGGGAGAAACGCAACGGTACGGGAGCATGGGCTGGCCAAACGGCAGTGCGGAACGCTAGGTCACTAGAAAAGCAGGGAAAGGCGCACTATGTATGCAATGAGGGCAGCCCCGGCTCGGGGCCGTTGAGAAAGCAGTGGTCGGGAGGGGGGAGGCCCCGGTGTGGGCGGGCCCCATCGAGGGGGGATGGGGCGCGCAAGCGGCCAGATGGGGCGGGGCGCGGGCGGCAGTAGAGTCCTGCGGCTGGGTGGGATATAGGGCAATGAGCGTTGAGCAGTGTGCGATGAGCAATGAGCAATGAGCAGTGAGCAGCCCCTCCCTAATTAACAGCTAGGCCCTTCGCTCGTCGCGCTGCTTAACGCCTGTGTACGGATTGGGGCGTTGCCGGCCCAGTGGGCGATCAGTGCGCTGACACCGATCCGCAAGCCTGGTGCGGACCACCTGCGCTGTGACGGCTACCGCGGCATTGCCGTGGGCACACTGCCGGCCAAGCTGTTTGCCAGCATGCTTCAGAGCAGGTTTACAACCCACACTGAGGCGGCGGGCATTCGGGCATCTGGCCAGGCGGGGTTCCGGCCAGGGTACGGTTGCCGTGACCAGCAGCTTGCACTGCGAGCCATCATTGAGCGGCAGCGGGCGCGTGGGCAGCCGTTGTATGCCTGCTATGTGGACTTCAAGCAGGCCTTTGATAGGGTCCCGCGGCATCTGCTGTGGCAGAAGCTGGAGAGCGCCGGCCTGGGTGGCTGGGCGCTGCGGGCGGTGCAGGCCCTTTATGCGACGGTTCCCATGTGCGTGCGGGTGCCTGGTGGGTACACACCCACATTTCAGGCCACCTCAGGGGTGAAGCAGGGCTGCCCCTTGAGCCCTATATTGTTCGGTCTGTTCCTGGATGACTTCGAGTCCGGGCTGGTGCAACAGGCTGCGGCCGCGGCTCTGCCTCGCTGGCAGAGCGGGGAGTGCGTGCCGCCATTATTTTACGCTGATGACCAGGCCTTGCTGGCCACCACGCCG